CTTCTAGTTTACAAACTTCAGCCGTTCTGTTTACACGGGGATCACTATTCATTCTGTTTTCAATCGTCATCAACAACACACTTATTAAACAGGTATTGACTGCATTCTGATAGATATATACAGATTGTTTTCCATAGTAGTTACCCATTTTTATTTTACTTTAAAGAAAAGTCAAAGTATCGGGAAAAAAAAATCCCTGGCTTCAATCAACCGCTGGTTATTAGTCTTCTTCCTCTCCATCCAGCTCGGCATGGATCTTTTCAAGTCTCTCCTTGAGGCGTCTGCAGTTTTTGAGATTGTGCAGAAAAGCCTCCGAAGCGCCTTGGATCCTCCATTCAGCCGTGTAAATGTTTTTATCATTAAGACTCTGGTCAATCGCAGTAATGAAGTCGGCGAGCCAAAGTCTTTTCATTAACGCGTTGTAATTGTTTCTGAAGAAATATTCTGGAATGTCATTCAGACAATCGTGTTGCCTCTGGCCGGGGTGATTGACTCGGCATCCATTGCAGATTTCAAGGTTCAAGGTTCAAGGTTCTTTATTGTCAATCTGACATAGCTACAGAGTAATTATGCAGTTGAAAATCTTATGTCACAGGCTTCTCCAACAATGCAACATAATAACATAACATAATAACAATAAGAGCAAGAGCAATACAAAAATAATAATAGTTATAAAAATGAAATAAAGTTATGATGTGGAATAGTGCAGTATGAGTCTATATACAAGTTATTGGAATGATATATATATATTAGGTATTAGATACATACTACTGAGTAGCAGTTGAATGTTTGAAGTTGTTTCGACAGTTCAATTTTTTAACAGTCTCACTGCCCGCGGGAAGAAACTGTCTCCGAATCTTCTTGTCCTTGCCAGGATGCTGCGGTAACGTCTGCCAGACGGCAACAGAAAGAACAGTTTGTGGCTGGGGTGATGGGGGTCTTTGATAATCCGTAGTGATTTCTTCCTGAGCCGCTGGGAGTAAAGGTCCTCCATGGATGGCAGCTCCGTCCTGGTGATGTGCTGTGCAGTTTTCACCACCCTCTGTAAAGCCTTACGATCGAGGTCGGTGCAGCTGCCGTACCAGGCCGTCATGCTGCCAGTGAGGATACTCTCTATCGTGCACCTGTAGAAGTTGCAGAGTATCCTGGAATCCATTTTGAACCTCCTCAACCTGCGGAGGAAGAAGAGCCGCTGTCGAGCTTTCTTAGTGATGGTGGTGGTGTGAAGAGACCATGTCAGGTCCTCAGTGATGTGGACCCCAAGGAACCTGAAGCTTTTGACTCTCTCCACCGTAGTCCCATTGATGGCGATGGGGGCGTGTCCCTCTCCCTGCTGCTTCCTGTAGTCCACAATCAGCTCCTTTGTTTTGCTGATGTTGAGATGGAGGTTGTTCTCCTGGCACCAAGATGTCAGGTTTTCGACCTCCTCTCTGTATGCCGTCTCGTCATCGTCTGTGATCTGGCCGATGACGGTCGTGTCATCAGCAAACTTCACGATGGTGTTGGAGCTGTGTGTGGCCACGCAGTCGTGGGTGAACAGGGAGTAGAGGAGAGGGCTGAGCACGCAGCCTTGAGGGGCACCGGTGTTGAGAATCAGGGTGGAGGATGTGATATTTCCCACCCGCACTGCCTGGGGTCTGCCCGTCAGGAAGTTCAGGATCCAGTCGCAGAGGGCGCTGTTGAGTCCGAGGTCTCTGAGCTTGATGGCCAGCTTGGAGGGCACAATGGTGTTGAATGCTGAACTGTAGTCAATGAACAGCATTCTCACATATGTGTTCCTCTTCTTCGGGTCCAGGTGTGAGAGGGCAGTGTGGAGGGTGAGGGCTATGGCGTCGTCTGTCGACCTGTTTGCTCTGTAGGCAAACTGCAGGGGGTCCAGCGATTCAGGGAGGGAGGAGGTGATGAATAATTTGACTAACCGCTCAAAGCACTTCATTATGATGGAGGTGAGTGCTACTGGGCGGTAGTCGTTGGGGCAGGTGATGATTGTCTTTTTGGGGACAGGAATGATGGTGGAGTGTTTAAGACATGTGGGGACTACAGACTGCAGCAGGGACCTGTTGAAGATGTCTGTGAACACCTCTGCCAGCTGAACTGCACACACCCTGAGAACACGGCCAGGGATGCCATCAGGTCCAGGAGCCTTGTGTGGGTTAACCCTTTTAAAGGATTTACACACATCTGCCCTATTTAAAACAAAAGGGCAGTGTAGCTCCTGGTCCCTCTGTACCTCCACAGCCTGGCTGCTCTCAAAGCGTGCAAAAAAACTGTTTAGCTCATCTGGGAGAGATGCGCACGCAGACACTCCCGCAGCACCCCCCGCTGCTCCTTTGTAGTCAGTCATTGTCCTTAGTCCCGCCCACATATTCCTAGTGTTACAGCCTTTGAAGTCAGATTCCACCTTCTCTTTGTACTGTCTCTTTGCATTTTTTATTGCTCTCCGGAGATCATACCTAGACTTCCTGTACTCCTCCAAATCTCCCGCTGTGTGCGCGAGAGTGCGCGCTTTCAGTTTGCCGCGCACCTCACCGTTTACCCAGGGCTTTTGATTTGGGAATGTCCGTACAGAAACCTTCGGTACCACGTCATCGATGCATTTCTTCTCTGTACCGATGCAGCACCCTCTCCAGAATATCAACCAACTCCGATTTCACTATGTTCAAAAACAGAGACGTCTTGGCCCAAGGAGTAACATCAGCAGCAGTAGTACTGCAAGATTTGGGTGTCCACAATGGTGGTGACGATAGTAGTCCAGGAGTTTGTTCCTGGCTGCAACTCGCGGGGGGAGACTTGGTTTTTCTCAGATCCCTGGCTAGTTTTCAACGGTCGTCTTAGTGGGGTCCTTCGTTTTAGATGATTTGCTGAGTGGGGGGTGGACTTATTGCATTGAGTGGGGGGAGTCATCTGTAGAATTGAGAGTTTTTAGAAAAGTTCTTTAACCTGTTCCACTCTGAGCCTGTTTTTCAGGTCTCAGGCTCGAAAATGACATTCCCAGAACAAATGACCATATCTTCCCTTCTAAAAGGGTTAAATTAATAATCTTTTCTCAAAGTAATGATAAACCTGTGAGTTGGATGTAGAAGTGTCAGAATCAATATAAATGTTTTTTATTTTAAAGAAAATTCAGATTTTACATAGTAAAAAACTGTAAATTATAGTGTCCGTCCAAAAATTATTTTTTACAGATAGTGAAAACTACCCTTGGATGATGGGTTAGTAGACTAAAAGCTTTAGGAATCCAAAGTACAACATATAATAAGTACCCTGTATCAAGATTGATGCAAAACAAGTGAAATTTGACCTTTTTAGAGAGATTTAGCCAAAAACTGGGCCATCTGTGGTCATTTGGGTGGATTTGACCTATCTCTGGCCCCCCTTGCTCGATCTGGTTGGTTGACATACCCTTGTGACCGTTAGAGCCAATAGAATCGAAGGAGGAGGCTCCCACCCAGACAGCTTGTAAAGAAAAAATGTTGCCGCTTCGCGTGTGGAAAGCGAAACTAAACTGGAGGAATGTCTCCTTCTGGAGTTTGGAAACTAAAACGCAGTTGTATTGCTTATGGATTATCAGAAATAATTTCAAAGAAGGCACAGACACATAGGATGAACCTATGGATTAACTGCAGCATCGTTTTTTTATCGTTTTAATGCCATTGAAGACCACTTTTGACCAAGGTGAGCCATATTTACATGTTTAGCTTCTTTGCTCCACATGTGATGATGTACGCTTTCGTTGATAGCGTCGCGAATGTTTATCACTGAGTGTTGAGGTGGGCACCGTTAGATTCAGTGTCTCCAGGACACCAAAAAATAGTGTTTGGTTGTGCATCTAGGATAAGTAATAAGGGAGTTATGAGTGAGTTTAAGTGCCTTAGTAGGTCCCGTTTTTTCGATCGAGGCTAATTCAGAGGCTGAGTGCTAGCATTGTGGGTTTTTTTTGAAAAAAAAAATTAAAAAGATCAGTTAGCTGAGTTTCTTCCCGTTACATGGATATAACACATTCATAGTTTTATTCAATATTAAGATTCCTTAGACGTTGTTTCCTGCAAATGACGCGTTTATCCGCCCGGTACCGGGGGGAAGGCGTGAAACAGGTTAAGCTTTGTAGCTTTTTCATCTATCATTTCCAACCAAGCAGCAAGAGGTCAAATTTAACAATAAGTAATAGTTTGTCACGATTTTACGGAAAAAGTCAAAGTATAGTTTGTCAGAAAAAATATATATATGGAAAAGTCATTGTGTACAATAGTATGTTGAAAAACTAAAACAAAAAAGAAACTCAATTCATTACAAATTAATGAATATTTGACCAAGTTATAAAGTTTTGCATCCACTAAAGTGTAACTATAAGTATCTTTGTAGGAGAAAAAACAAAAATAATTTAAGTTATTTCCATAAAACTGGATTGTCTTACTAAAATCCCAGAGTGCCTTTAAGAGTCACAGTCTTAAAGAAAATCTGTTCAGAAAAAGTACTTAACTTTCTACCAGTTGTAAAGTAGTCATACATAAAACTGTATCCAAAAAGTAAGTGAAAGACAACGGGAGAGAAAATAAAAGTGTTAAAATCACCAACTTCCCTTTTAGAGTCACAGTCTTTAAGAAAATACATTTCTTACAAAATAATTGACATTCTACCAGTTGTCAAATGTTCCTACATAAAAGTGCATCAAAAAAAGTATCTTGGTAGCTGAAAATAACTAAAATATCAGAGAAAACCTACATTGTTTAACTGAACAAGTGTTTTTAAAAAAACGGGGTATTAAAGAAACCCCCATTCCTTACAAAGAACTTCATATTATACCCTTTTGTTAAGTGTTGCATACATCAAAGTGTATCTAAAAGTATCTTGGTAACACAAGAAAAGAGAAAAAAGTCAAAATCGGCCTTGTGTCAGTAAATAAGTGTTAAAATCACAAACTCGCCTTTTAGAGAAACAGTCTTTAACCTGTTAAGCTCCGCCCCCCCCGGTACCGGGCGGAAAAACGCGTCACTGCAGGAGACAGCGTCTGGGGGCTTCTTAATATTTAAAAACCTATGAATGTCTTATACTCAATAAACGGGAAAAAACTCAGCTACCTGACGATACAAGCCATTTTTACCGAAACAAAACACAAGTCTCACAAGAAGCGTTAGCATTAGCCCTTAGCCAAAACGGGCAAATGCTACTTCCGGTGCTAACTAGCAAAAACGATCTTTATACCTTCATATTATCTGCACAAACTACACATAATCTGAAAGCTGATACTCCACTGATTATTTTGATATAAGTATCATCACTGGAGGACACAAACTCACTGAGCTAGCAGCCAGAACAGAGCAAGAAAAGAACAACAGTTTTCAAAACCGTAACAATAATTTTGTCTTACCGTTGCTGTTTTGTGATCAAAAGTCGTGTTCAAGGGAATAAAAACGCTGCTCAAGGTTAATCCAAAGTCTCTTAGTCCTTTTAGAATTGGTCCTGATAATCTATCATTACATTCATGGCAGCAGAGTAGGTATAAAGTTTTGCAGTCCGGCACTGATGCTGTCTCCCACGAGGTATACGCACAGCTCCCCCTCCTCCACGTAGTTGTTTAGCCGGTTTTACTAACTGCAGCTCGATTCTATTGGCTCTAAAGTTTCAAAAAAGGTGTCAATCACCCAAATCGACCAATGGGTTCCAGAGTTACGATCCTGCGTAACATAAATTATGCCAGCTCCAGCCACATTACGCAGACGACGCAGCAGCAGCAGCACCGCCAGCAGCACCGGAGGAGCAAACGAACGAAGCGACGAACACAGTGAACAGAGAACACAGAGACAACAGAGAAAACCGAGACGACAGCATAACATAATATTATTATTATATATAAGGACAAGGACAAGGATTTATTTGCTTTTAGGACTTATTTGAGCAAATAATGCCACCCAGAAAGAGGCTGTACAAGCTTGAAGATGCCGTGGAAATGGTGTTCGCTGACTCTCCGTCAGAAGATGAGGATTTACTTCAGCCACAATCAGACCCGGATTATGAACTTCGGGAAAGGTATGTACTCTCTCTGTTTGTGTCTATTAGTTTTGTATTTGGTGTAATCTATAGTAATTCCACACTCGCAAAAGAAAAAATGGACGCCGCTTTGTTGTTCTCGCATAATCGTTCTGAGAGTCGAAAAACAATGGGAAGATGCGTGTTGGTGAACACGTATCAATAGATTAATTATAAATAAATAAATTATTAATTAAAACAGTATATAAATAAAGCTGTATTGTATATCAACGCAGTCTATAGGCCTACTGTACGCGAAATGGATGCCGTTTTGTTGTAAACAATGGGAACACGTGTTGGTGAACACGTATCAATAGATTAATTGTATTTCGTCACTATAACACGGCAGTATATAAATAAAGCTGTATTGTATATCATATATATATATACTGTTATTTCACACACGCTAAATGGAGGAATTATTTCTGATTTGAGTTACATTTTTGAAAGAATAAGCCAGTGAAGTAATCGATTTGTTTTTCCCACATTTTTCACAGTGAGTATGACGAGTATGAAATGGCTTCTGGATCACAGCCATCAACATCTGCCTCATCCGAGCTACGACGTGCATCAGATCAGCATACAGTTGCCCCAGAGCCATCAACATCCAAGCTACGTCGCCGGATGTCTGCACCTGTACTAACTCGGCCTCCCTCTGCATCTTCTGATTCGGAACCATCATTTGAGCTGCCCAGCAAAAGAAAAGCATCGAAAAAAGCTGTAAATCCCAGAAAGCGTGGCCAAGGTCGAGGTGGGTCTTCCTCTTCCAGAACGACAGAGGAAGAACTCGGGTGGCACAACAAAGAAGAGAATGACCAAACACCAGAGCCACTGAGGTTCATGCCTGCCAGGGTCCCAGGGCCAGCGTTGGACACCACTGCACAATGGTCTCCCCTTCAGCTTTTCAAACTATTTTTTAGCCATGCCGTGGTTCATACAATCATTGCCAACACAAACACAAAGGCCCTGTATCAATTGCAGGCTGGAAAGAAGTACCCTTGGAAAGTGCTGACTTTCAAGGATTTTTATATTTTCCTGTCCATTGTCATTTTCACAGGCCTAGTTAGCGTTCACAACCAATCGGACTACTGGAGGACAACATTTCCATATAGTTTCAAATTCCCAGGTGATACGATGTCCCGGCAACGCTTCCACGCCATCCTGTAGTCATTGCACATGAGCGACCCGAAAGAAGACGAAGAAAATGATCGCAAAAGGAACACCGCAGAGTACGATAGACTTTTCAAGATAAAGCCCCTGTACACTGAAATCACTGCTGCCTGCAAAGCACATTTCCAGCCCCATCAAAACATTTCAATAGATGAAAGGATGGTCGCCTCCAAAGCCCGCATAAGCTTGAAGCAATACATGAAGAATAAGCCAACAAAGTGGGGTTACAAGCTGTTTGTGCTGGCGGATTCCTCCACGGCATACACATGGAACTTCTTTGTGTACACAGGGAAGAGTGAGTTCCTCTCAGGCCAGGGACTCAGCTACAGCTCCGTGGTCGACCTCCTGCCTTTCCCTCTGCTCGGTGGGGGCTACACACTCTTTGTGGACAACTTTTACACAAGCCCTGCCCTCTTTGGGGATTTGTTCGCAAAAAACATTGGCTGTTGTGGGACCATTCGAAAAAATCGAGTTGGTTTTCCACAGACTGAGTTGAACGACCTTCCGAAAAAGGCTGAAAGGGGAGATATGCGTTGGATAAGGAGAAGCAAGCTCCTGTTCATAAAGTGGATGGACAGCCGTGAAGTGACCATGTGCTCCACAGTGCATGCAGCCTTCAGTGGACAGACTGTCAGGAGGAATGTGAAACGGGCTGGTGTGTGGCAGACTAAGATTGTTACCGTTCCTGACGCTGTGGTGGACTACAACAGAAGCATGGGCGGCGTGGATGTGTCCGATGCTTTGATTGGGTACTACAGCGTTCTCCGCAAAACCATGAAATGGTACAAGACTTTTTTTTACCATTTTCTGGACATTGCCGTGGTCAACAGCTTCATTCTCCACAAGGAGCTGCACAAGATGAGGGTTGACCCCGGCATGACGAACCCACACACCCAGAAGTCCTTCAGGGAGCAGCTTTCTGCAGAATTGAGGGGTGATGTCCCTGCAGCACCACCACCACTCCCCCCATCATCACAAGTATGCATGCCTGCGTATTATGGGGAAGATGCCACCAAGCACAGGAGGTACTGCAGGAGGTGCTCTGAGGCTGGCAACAAAACGGTAAAGACACCTATATACTGCACTAAGTGCCTGATCCCTCTGTGCCTCACTTCAAAGAAGAACTGCTTCAAGGCGTGGCACACCTCTGACTGAACACTTTTTCTTTTTGTGTACATTTTTGCTTTTTTTTTTTTTTGCGAGTGTTTACAAAAAAAATGCTTGTGGTTTTATTTAGGTTTTAGTGTAGTTTTATTTTATAGTGTGTTGTGTAAATAAATCTGCTCCTGTTGGAGACAAATTTATCCTATGTTTCCTAATTTTTATTGTGTAAGTAAACCTTCCTAGAAGTGTTAAAAAAAAATTTATAAAAAACTTGTATTTTGATGGAATGAATACCTATAGTGATAATAAAATGATTTTTACGGTATGGTACCTGAAAAAGGTCAAATGGCACTGATGGTATCAAAACGTGCCCAAATGTGCCCAAAGGTTAGTCCGCCTGGACTTTTTTTTACTAATCCTCTCTAAAAAGGTCAAATTTCACTTGTTTTGCCTCAATCTTGATACAGGGTACTTATTATATGTTATACTTTGGATTCCTAAAGCTTTTAGTCTACTAACCCATCATCCAAGGGTGGTTTTCACTATAAGTAATGGGTTTTCTTTAGGCGGAGGTAAGAATTTACCTTTTTTTACTATGTTCCATCTGAATTTACTCTGACTGAGAAAAATCTATATTGATTCTGACACTTCTACATCCAACTCACAGATGTAACCTTGCTTTGATAAAAGAAATTATTCATATAACCCTTTTAGAAGTTAAGTTATAGTCATTTGTTTTGGGCATGTCATTTTCGAGCCTGAAACCTGAAAAACAGGCATGGTGCTTAACAGGTTAAGAAAAAACCTAATCAGACAATGTACTTCATTTTCTAGTTTTAAGGTTTTGCATACCTCAAAGTGTGTCTAAAAGTATCTTGGCAAGAGAAAAAAGCCAAAATCTGCCTAGTGTCAGTAAATAAGTGTTAAAATCACAAACTTGCCTTTTAGAGTCACAGTCTTTAAGAAAATAAATGTGTTACAAAGTGATTGACATTCTACCAGTTGTAAAGTGTTGCATCCATTAAAGTGTAACTATAAGTATCTTGGTAGCAGAAAAAAAAAGCAAAAATCAGTAAAGTCATCAAAAAACGACATTGTTTAACTGGATTGTCTTACTTAAATCAAAAAGCTGCCATTAAGAGTCACATTCTTAAAATAACATCTATTTAGACAAAGTATTGGATTTTTCTAGTTTTAACTTTTTGCATACCTCAAAGTGTATCTAAAAGTATCTTGGCAAGAGAAAAAAGCCTAAATCTGCCTAGTGTCAGTAGAAAAGTGTTAAAATCACAAACTTGCCTTTTAGAGTCACAGTCTTTAAGAAAATAAATGTGTTACATCAAAAGGCTAGTTTAGACATAGTCTAGATTAGACAACAAAGGATCGACTACAGGGGGGGAATATCACACCTGCACGTGATAACACCTCCCCTCACCCCAAATACTATGACCTGTATTCACCCTCTGACCTAAAAAGCTAAATCTGCCTAGTGTCAGTAAAAAAGTGTTAAATCACAAACTCTCCATTTAGAGTCTGATTCTTTAAGAAACTCAATTCATTACAAATTAGGGAATATTTTACCAAGTTATAAAGTTTTGCATCCATTAAAGTGTAACTAAAAGTATCTTTGTAGGAGAAAAAACTAAAAATATTTAAGTTATTTCCAGAAAACTAGATTGTCTTACTAAAATGCCCTTAAGAGTCACAGTAGTAAAGCATCTAAAAGCATATATTTAAAACGTAATGTTAGTCAAGTCAAGTTATCAAAACTGCATTGTTTCATCGAAACAGTGTTAAATCACAAACTCTCCATTTAGAGTTTGATTCTTTAAGAAACTCAATTCATTACAAATTAGGGAATATTTTACCAAGTTATAAAGTTTTGCATCCATTAAAGTGTAACTATAAGTATCTTTGTAGGAGAAAAACAGAAATCATTTAAGTTATTTCCAGAAAACTGGATTGTCTTACTAAAATGCCCTTAAGAGTCACAGTCTTAACCTGTTAAGCACCTAGCCTGTTTTTCATGTTTCAGGCTCAAAATGACATGCCCAAAACAAATGACTACAACTTAACTTCTAAAAGGGTTATATGAATAATTTATTTTATCAAAGCAAGGTTACATCTGTGAGTTGGATGTAGAAGTGTCAGAATCAATATAAATGTTTTTTATTTTAAAGAAAATTCAGATTTTACATAGTAAAAAACTGTAAATTATAGTGTCCGTCCAAAAATTATTTTTGACAGATAGTGAAAACTACCCTTGGATGATGGGTTAGTAGACTAAAAGCTTTAGGAATCCAAAGTACAACATATAATAAGTACCCTGTATCAAGATTGATGCAAAACAAGTGACATTTGACCTTTTTAGAGAGGTTTAGCCAAAACCACCCCACCTCTGAGGTGATTTGGGTGGAAATGGGTTTTTTTCTATATCTCTGGCCCCCCTTGCTCGATTTTGATCGTTGACACACCTTTCTGACCGTTAGATCCAATAGAATCGAAGGGGGAGGCCCACATACACACTCATTGTAAAGAGAAAAGGTGGGGGCTGCGCGTCTGGAAATCGAAAGCAAAGTGGAAGAATCTCTCCTTCTGGAATTTGGAAACTAAAAAGCAGTTTTATTGCTTATGGATTATCAGAAATAATTTCAAAGAAGGCACAGATACATAGGATGAACCTATGGATTAACTGCAGCATCGTTCTTTTATCGTTTTAATGCCATTGAAGACCAGTTTTGACCAAGGTAAGCCATGTTAGCGTTTCTAGCTACTTAGCTCCACATGTTATGATGTACGCTTTCGTTTATAGCGTCGCAAATGTTTATCACTGAGTGTTAAGGAGGGCACCACTAGATTCAGTGTCTCCAGGACACCAAAAACGAGTGGTTGGCTGTGCATCTAGGATAAGTAATAAGGGAGTTATGAGTGAGTTTAAGTGCTGTTTTAGGTTAAATTTTTCGCTCGTGGGTAGTTGAGAGGCTGAGTGCTAGCATTGTGGGGTTTTTTTGGAAAAAAAAATTAAAAAGATCAGTTAGCTGAGCTTCTTCCCGTTACATGGATATAAAACATTCATAGTTTTATTCAATATTAAGATTCCTTAGACGTTGTTTCCTGCAAATGACGCGTTTTTCCGCTGGTACCGGGCGGGCCGTGCGTAACAGGTTAAAGAAAATCTGTTCAGAAAAAGTACTTAACTTTCTATCAGTTGTAAAGTTGACAAACATAAAACTGTATCCAAAAGTAAGAGAAGATGTTTCAGATGTTGCATGTGTTTCAGATGTTGCATGTGTTTTAGGTGTTGCGTGTGTTGTGTGTGTGTGTGTTGCATGTGTTTCAGATGTTTCAGATGTTGCAGATGTTTCAGATGTTGCAGATGTTTCAGATGTTGCATGTGTTGCAGATGTTGCATGTGTTGCAGATGCTGCATGTGTTTCAGATGTTGCAGTTCATTTTCGTAGCAGCTTTTTTACAATGGCTAGATGGGGTATACAGGTTACGAAACACTTGAGCCGCATTTTCCTTTGTCACCTGCAGTGGTGTCATTTTAATACTTCGGTGATAACTATTATTGTAACTTTCAATTAGTTCAAGCAAGACGTCTATGTATCTATGAGTGTTTTTTAGCTGTAAAATACCTCCTCATTTTAGTTTTCAGCGTACGGTTAAATCTCTCTACCACACACGCCTTCATGTCACTGGCTGTTGCATAATGTGCAATACCTCGTTTCTTCAATAAGGCTTGAAAAACTGTTTCAGATGTTGCATGTGTTTCAGGTGTTGCATGTGTTTCAGATGTTGCATGTGTTTCAGATGTTGCATGTGTTGCAGATGTTTCAGATGTTGCATGTGTCTTACTAAAATCCCAGAGTGCCTTTAAGAGTCACAGTCTTAAAGAAAATCTGTTCGTCTTAGTGGGGTCCTTAGTTTTGGATGATTTGCTGAGTGGGTTGGGACTTATTGCGTTGAGTGGGGGGAGTCATCTGTAGAAATGAGAGTTTCTTTCACCCGTATAATGTCCCTCGCTGTTTGACTCTTTTTAAAAAGTTATTTTTCATCTATCATTTTCAACCAAGCAGCAAGAGGTCAAATTTAAGAATAAGTAATAGTTTGTCACGATTTTACGGGAAAAAGTCAGAGCGCGATGTCACATCTTAAAGACAGCTTGAACTGGATAGATGGTTAGTCTTTTTCAAACATACCATACGTTCTGCATGTTAGTATATTTGGCCATTCGGGTTAGGCCCTACTGCCCTACCCCCTCAATAGGGAAGCCACGCTTTGGGAAGAGGTGTTTAATTTGACAGATCTGACTTGATTGTTGTTGTGATGGCTGAAGGAAGAGGGACGGGCGAGGAAAATTCAGAGGATGAAGAAGCAGAAAAATAACTTGTTTGTAAAACGGACAGCACGTCAGTTTCAGGAAAGATGACACCGGTTTTATGCATGACATGCCAAATATCCTGAAGCCCTACAAAAAATAAAAAAAGGTACAAGTATATTGTGTTGAAAATATCGCAAAAAGTCGTAATATTGTATAATGTATTAGTTGCATGTTGTATTTTGATAAAAATCACTGTATATTCAAAAATATAATGGAAAAAGGAGAGAAAAAAACAAATATCACAGTATGTTGAAAAATATGAAAAAAGTAATGTTGTGTTAACCATGGCACTTGGACTATTTACATCATCCAGGGCTCAACACCAGTAAATACACCTCTCTTTATCCGCTCTCCAAGCCTCCAAGGGCGGACTCCTGAGTTCCGTAATGTCCCCCTAACATGACACTTAGACTATTTACATCATCTAGGGAAGCACACCAGTAAATCTTCCTTATAGTTAATAAAGTAATTAAACAATAATAAGACAATACCATGGGGTCATTAAGATCTTTAAATTATTATTTTCCTCTTAAAGAGACTTCGTTATAGTTAATAAAGTAATTAAACATTAGTTCGCAAGCCATACAACTAAAGAGAACATCCAGTTCACAAGCCATACATTTTCAAAAGAACATCCTTAGTTAACAACAACTTCATAGGGGCTTTTAAAGTTGTGTGAAGTAATTAAACATTAAAGAATACAATATCAGGGGATCATTGACATCTTTTTTAATTATTATTACCCTCTTTTCAAAAAGAGAGTCCCTTGTAGTTAGTAAAGTAATTGAACATTAGTTCACAAGCCATACAACTTAA